GCCCAAGGAGCATGAACAATAGTCCTTTGGCCACCGTGCATTTGAGGCAGGTACTGTCTCAGGGGACAGAGAACAGTTGACTTAAAATACTGAGGGTCTCCAAAGGTGGTTATAATCAATCTTCCTCCCTCTTGGGCATTTAGGGTTATTACAGTCCGCCCATTTGGACTCCTTTCGATATTTTTAACGTCATATTATGGTCTTAATTCAGACTTTAAATTTTTCTTAACATCACGGACAGTGGGCAGGTCATCCTCATCTCAACTTGGGTCAGTAGAAGGTGGGGGAGAGAGGGGAGCGATTGGTGTTTTAGCAGAATTTTGTCTGGCACTGCTTTCAGAGGTAATGGACCCCTCTGCAGGAACTGGAGGTGGAGGTGGAGGAGCTTGACTGAGTACCCAGGAGTCTAGCAAATCTTCCGTGTCTTCCGGAGTGATGGTATCGTTGGGCGCCGGAATACTGGGGTACAGTTTTTTATAGGTAGGAGGATCAGGTGGGGGAGCGCTAGGGCTGGATTTTGCCTCCAAAAGTAAAGTAGCCAATTGTTTTTTCAATTTTTCATTTGAATCTCTGAGACTAGCCTCAATTGATTTTTGTTTTCTTTTAGATGCTTTGTTATCCCATAGGTACCAATATTCCATTTGCTTTGGCTTGGGTATTTCTAGGAATCCCCTCAGGTAATTTAATTTGTCAGGGTCAAAGGTTCCTTCATCAGGGAACTGTAACTCGGGGTTTTCATAGGTATACCCATTCCAAGCATGTGCTAATTTAACTAAGCGCTTTTGCTTCTTGGAACCCAATTGAGTTTCATAAGTCTTACACATATAACCCAAGGGTGTTTTTGGGTCCAGGCAAGAGGATCCCTTACCCATTTCTTTTGTCTTCAGTTAAGGAAGAGAACGGGAACTGAAATATAATAACTGTAACCAAGGGTAGTGCACAAAACGGTGCTTTACGTTTACCCGCTGACTAGTCAGACAGCCTGTTCATGAATGAGGAGAAAGGAAAGGGAGGGGAACCTGTCCGCTGGATCACAAGGTTTGAGCTGAGCCCCCTTGCTTTCAAGTCTGCTTTGTGGGCAGCCTTGGGGCGGCTAGACTCAGCCTTAGTCTCAGATCTGGTCAGCGGCTCATTATTATTTTAAAGGCTAGCGCTGAGTCACGGGGTTCAAGAAAATTTTCTTTAGTCCCAGCCTTGGTCAGCAGAGGGTATGGATAATGTTCATAGTACTTTCGAGGTTTCAATATCCCTTAGTCTATAGTAATCTAATATAAACCCAGTTCCCCACTACACTTGTAGAAAGTTAACAAGTTTGTCAAATCAAATTTTAGCCTCATGACAGGGACTGCTAAAGCCAGTAGGCAAAAGGATAGGCAGAGAAGAGTCCAGGCATCCCCAGACAAAGTCAGAGCAGTCTACCTGTCAGGGATCCATATATTCCGTTTCAGATAAAGTATCCTGTTACAAATTTCAGTCATTCAGATAAAGCATGTCTTAAACTCTACATTGATAACGTAGGGAGCGCTTACCGCCAAGAGACGTAACTTGTCCAGGCTAGGGAGCACTGAGACCTGTTAAGTGAGATTTTTCAATTAGGATCTCTTACCTCTGTGTTTGGTGCCACGGGTGTCAGCTGTGTCCCCAGACTGTTCAAGCCGTCAGCTCGGTGTTCCGCC